GAAGCACGCAAGCGCCTCTAGTGGCTGTCAATGAGACAGCCACTAGAGGATTAGAAGGAAGGCTTAACCCATTAATAAACATAGCAGTTTCTGTGAAAAAAATGGGTTAACCCTAGAAGGACCTGGCACCCAGACCACTTCATTAAGCTGAAGTGGTCTGGGTATAATAAAAAGAAAAGGAAAAAGGGTGATTAGCGCAAAATCACAGTCCTTTTCTTTTTATTATATCACGTTTGTAAGTGTATTTGGTGACACTACACTTGGGAAATTTTAGCTGCACCACGTTTGACTATTTTTAGCGCCTCTGTATCCTTTTTTATCTTATTTAAATTGAAGTGGTCTGGGTGCCTAGAGTGGTCCTTTAATGCATATCAGGATGTCCCACCCTACCCCATTCATGTTATTGGTCCTTTTATGTGTACTGCATAAATAAGCACTAACCAGCGTTAAAATAAAAGCATATGTCCTGCCAGTGAAAGCTGGTCCATAGGGCAGGCGAGTTAGCTCCCCTGCCCTGTTTTTGTTACAATAAAAATGTAATCAAATTATTTTGTAGTAAGCATTAATGTTAGAAAGAAATCATGTGCCTGTTATTAATTTTTCCAGTTTAGTCCTCCTCCCCCTAATTAATGACTGGAGAAGCTGCTGAAAGGCTTTGCAACTACTCTTGTCAAGATTTGGGAGTAATTTTGAAGGCAAAAAATTTCCCATTTTTTGGGTATACACCTCTCAGGCATATTTAGTAAGCCTGGACAGGATTCCTAATGTTAACAATTGGTTTGTATTGGACTGTCACATCCTGGATACCCTAAAAGAGAGGGCTGTGCACTGTTCTGTCTTCTAGGGCTGCCATTGGGTAACAATATGGTGTGAAGCTGTGCCTCTTTCATGTGCATGTCATTTCCCACGTATTCACTATAGATCATATCTGTAGGTTTATGGTGTTGAAAAAGATATCTCATCAGGAAGTCTCATTGGGTCAGGAGTGCATAGAGTGCAATGGGCAGAACCCATGTCAAGTGACTGATTCAAATTCTGGAGGTAGTGTCTAAGGTTCTACCATCTTGAAAATTCACCAGCTGCCACTGTGTGCTGCAGTGTGCATCAAATAAAAACAAACAGAACATTTATCTTCATAGTAAACTGGACAAAAAAATATGATCATCAATGAGCTAAAGAAAGTGGAATAGCACGAAAAAATATCTAGTTTGATGGATTTCTAGAACATTTATATCTTATATCTTTCATCAGGCCGGATTTTTTTCACAAAGCCTACATATGCCTCTAGTGTAACCACTATGTTTGAATAACATAGCATACTAAAGAAAGAGAACAAGGAAATCAGTACTCGCATTATCTAAAATATAATTTTTAATCATCTGTATTAAAAAAAAAAAAAGCAGATATTGTGCGTCAATACATCAAACATATCAAATACGCAGCTAATAATACTACTACTACTACTAATAAAAAAGCAGCTATAGACCAAATATACAATTTTGTAGCATTAATAAGGTGATGTAACAATGAAGTCTTATACCATTTACTTGATAAATCGTGATGGTGTAACAAAATGAGGGCTAGGGTCAGCTTGATAGCTAAATGTAATGTAAAACATTTTATTTTTCAGGACAGTCCCACCATAAGTGCACATATGTGCCTGGGGTAGCATCACACCTCTAGAGATACAGTGCAAGAACACCGGTGCAGAACTAGGTGGAGAGTACCCAAAACTAAATTTAACCCAACTCTAACCCTAAACTCAATACCCATATACCCAAATGCTAAATGTAACCCAACACTAACCCTAAACCCAATAATTCTAACCTGCCATTACACACAGCTTTAACCTTTTTAACACTAAACATCCAATGTAATCTAACTCTGTCATTAACCCCTCTCTAACCTTAAACCCCAACTTAACTATAATCATTTCTAACATTATCTTTAACCATGCATCTACATTCACCATACTCACAGATGCAAATACAATATATTAAAAGTAGGAATATACATACATATATACAAACAGTTGATAATCAAGAATGTCTTTTAGATTGTTTTAGACCTTCAATGTTCAGTGTATACATTCATTAAACTTACTTTATCTGGTTTATTTTGGGGTTGGGGAGCAGGGGGCATGTTAGGATTTTGTGTCTACTAGCACCCGACACGTAAATCCGGCCCTGCCTTTCATTGAGACTCAGAGTGCCAATTATAACCAGTACAAAGTAGAATGGGCTATTATACGTAAAGCAATATGTACGGTGAAGTAATGTTCAGTATAGGTGTTTATGAAAATATTGTAAAAAATATATTGCTTTTCTAGCAGTCCTTGTTTTATATAATTATGAACTAAACACTAAAGTAGGATAGCTCAATCTTAAAATAGTCACTGTTTAAATGCTTTGATCTTCCAAAGTCAGATTAGAAGCAGATAAAGTCCTTCTGAATTGCAGGGCAGTAAGTTGTGGATTAGTTCTCAGATAGGAAATGTAGATGTTTTCCTTTGTTGCTGCTGTTTAATGCTTTGCTAAGTGGTAATTACCTATATTCAAATACATTAGCAACAGACAGTTTGAAAATGGCAATAGTTAAGGAGACTGTCCAGGCACCAAAAGTAAGATGATGGATCTGGTCTTTCAAATATCCATCCAGGATATCCTTATTCAGACAAACTATTATAGCACATCTGTAACCAGTTCTTCAATATGCAATCAAAAAAAGTTTGTATTTATTAATAAACCCAATGAGAAGGGTAAGTACAGATATTTAGATTTTACTACACTTTTATATTTTGTGTAGTGTAATAGTAAATTAATTTCACCCCTGTTTCTGGAACTAATTGTCAAATGAACAGTAATATGTCATTGGTTTTCTGTGAACAATATCTGTAATAGATTGTTGTGTCTTTTTTTTTTTAAATGAGCTTTAATCTTTTTATTACACATTACCTTGTGAGACACTGAAATATTAAATTTTAGTATACATTTTATAACTTGAAGAGAAGAGGTACATCAAAGACAGACATTCTGGTCACGTATACACATCAAAAAGTAGTATGAAAATAAGAGACCACTGCTAGTAACAGTTGCATCAGAAATAGTCACTATTATTAAAATTATTTCAAATGTTAAATGGGTAATTTAATGTTGCAGGTTTTGCTATGTATGTATGTATGTGCACAACATAAAAATCTGGTTCATCTGTATTTCTTTGGGCGACTCTTCTTTGGGTTTTGTGGTGTGTGTATATATTTATGTATGTTTGTATGCATTGTTTTTTTTCTCTCATTACAATAACATTGTGACATTACATGGTAAAGTTACCAGGACAATTATAAATACAAAACCCACTTTTACTATGACATCTGTTCAGAATGTTTGAGTAATAATACTTTGTTTTTCACTTTTACTCCAGATTATTTTGGCCAAAATCCAAGTCCATTAGTCACATGTACCGAGAAGCAAATGACTTGTTAAGAAACTTCCCCGTCCAAGCCACAATATCTTTCTACAATGACTCTGAGTCTGATACAGACAATGAAGATGACCAGAGTGAAGAGGAACTAGATTCTGGATTTGAATCTGCATAACTATTGCTACATATTTTATTTTATTGTATCACTATAATTATAACTAACCTTCCAATATAAGATGATTTATAGAGGCCTCATATAACTACGTGGACCCCATTATTATTATTTTAAAAAAGACCATTGATAAATTTTTCCCTTCGGTTCCTTAGAGACACACACTCCTCACTGTGAGAGCATACCATAGCATTTGCTCAAGTGGGTTCCTTTTTAACAGAGATAAACATTGTAAATTCTCAGATTGTCTTTGGGGTTAGATGATTAGCTACGCATGGGCATAAATATCAGGGAACTAGTTGTACATCTGTCGACTCAGCAATTACATTTCCAGAACATAGCCTTTAAAACATACGTTGGCTACGTATGCTGATGAAAACTTTCACAACTTGAAGTGATCTTTAAACTTTACAACAGTGAACTGTTTTAAATGAAATTTAAAAAGTTAGCAAATCTGACTAGTGGACTAGTAGAAGCCACAGTGGTAAGTGAAAAAAAGATTTGTGCTTCACTGGCACAGATCTTTGTTTCAGTCATAACGGACAGTTGGCTTGACATCCTACGCCACCGTGCTCAGCTCAGAACAGGAGAACCACTGACACAACAAGCAAAGTTATTGATTTCACCACTGCCAGATCTGGTGACTGGTAGATTTTGCATTAATACAGCAGGGCCTTTGGTTTTTTTTTTTGAAAGCAGCTCTGTCATTGTGAACTAGATAACAAGATTTCAGTTATGTTGACAGTAATGTTGAAAATCACCTCTATAGAAAATTCTGTAAAAATGTATATAGTATAAATGAAATATATTTATTTGTATGCAGGTTGCTATGTATATTAATAAACACAATTATAATATTTAACATTCTGTCCTTTTTTTTTCACTGGTTTAGATTAGCTCCCATAATGTTAGTTTGAAATTCTGAGTCAGTATGGCAGAATTTGTTTTTATAGTGGTTTTTTTTCTTAAAGTGTAAGCGTTCACACATTGTATACAAGAGTACAATAGAGTAAATGAACAGTGATGAGTAAATGAGGGTAGAGAATATTGAGGATAAGTATGTGTAGGTTAGATTAGGAAAGTTAAAGGGACACTCCAGGCACCCAGACCACTTCTGCCCATTGGATAATAATTACTTTGCAGGGTTAACTCCACCTAGTGGCTGTCTACTAGACAGTCACTAGAAGGCACTTCCTGGTTTCTAGCACAGGAAACCTGTGCCAGTCTTCACGCTGTGTGAGGACCTCCAGCATCGCTCATTTCCCCATAGGAAAGCATTGAAATGCATTTTCAATGCTTTCCTATGGGGAGTGCTAATGCGCGGCATCGGAGGAAGAAGCAGCGAAGTGGGACATCGTCGCTGCCTCTGGTAAGTTACTGAAGGGGTTTTCACCCCTTCAGCAACCGGGGATTGGGGGGTGGGAGGGAGAGGGAACCTGCAGTGCCAGGAAAACTGATTGTTTTCCTGGCACTGGAGTCTCCCTTTAACATTTGAACCAAGATTTCCAGGTCAATGGTTAGCAAAATTTTCAATGCTACATAGTTATATTCTGCAATGGTGGAGCAAAGTAACTGCTTAGGTGTTGTAAATACTGACCATATTGAGGTGTCTTTCCCACAAAAGCACAGATAATATGTATTCACTCAATAATGAATACAGCAATTAAAATATTTATATATTTCTATTGGAGGTAAACTGTTTAGATTAGTGCCCTCTATTTCAGCACTGAAAGTGTTCAAATCTACTCACCTTTGTCCCAACATATGGAGAGCATTTTTAACCATACAGTGAGGGAGAAAAGTACTTGATCCCCTGCTGATTTTGAACATTTCCTCACTGACAAATGATCCGTCTAATTTTAAAGGACCACTATAGTGCCCTGAGGGAGCCCCCACCCTCAGGGACCCCCTCCTGCCGGGCTCTGGGGAGAGGAAAGGGGTTAAACTTCCCTTTTTCCAGCGGCGGGCGAGGAGCTCTCCTCCTCCTCTCCGCCTCCGATCCTCCTCTTCAGCTGAATGCGCATGTGCGGCAGGAGCTGCGCACGCATTCAGACAGTCTCATAGGAAAGCATTCATAATGCTTTCCTATGGACGCTGGCGTCTTCTCACTGTGATTTTCACAGTGAGAAGCACGCAAACGCCTCTAGCGGCTGTCAATGAGAGCCACTAGAGGCTTTAGAGGCTGAATTAACCCTATTATAAACATAGCAGTTTCTCTGAAACTGCTATGTTTCTTAAAAGGTTAATCCTAGAGGGACCTGGCACCCAGACCACTTCATTAAGCTGAAGTGGTCTGGGTGCCTAGAGTGGTCCTTTAATGGTAGGTGTATTTTAACAGTGATACAGAATAACCAAACAAAATACAGAGAATGTGTGTCAAAGTTATACATTGATTTGCATGTCAATGAGTGAAATAAGTATTTGACCTCTTTGACTTAGTACTTGGTGGCAAAACCCTTGTTGGCAATCAGAGGTCAGACATTTCTTGTAGTTGGCCACCAGATTTGCCCACATTAGGAGGAATTTTGTCCTACTCCTCTTTGCAGATCCTCTCAAAGTCATTAATGTTTTGAGGCTGACTCAACACAGCAAATTGAGTTGATGCCAAAGAGCTTGATTTTGGTCTCATCGGACTACAACACTTTCACCCACTTCTCCTCTGAATAATTCAGATGTTAATTGGCAAACTTCAGCCGGGCCTGTACATGTGCTTTCTTGAGCAGGGAGACCTTGCAGGGGGCTGCAGGATTTTAGTTGGAGTGGAGGGACTATAGTGCCAGCTGCCTTGAGATCATAAACAAGATCCTCCCGTGTAGTTCTGGGCTGATTCCTCACCGTTCTCATGATCATTGAAACTCCACAAGGTGAGATCTTGCATGGAGCACCAGACCAAGGGAGACTGACAGTTATTTTGTGTTTTCTTCCATTTGCGAATAATCGCACCAACTGTTGTCACCTCCTCACCAAGCTGCTTGGTGATGGTCTTGTAACCCATACCAGCCTTGTGTAGGTCTACAATCTTGCCCCTGACATCCTTGGTTAGCTCTTTGGTCTTGGCCATGGTGGAGAGTTTGGAATCTGATTGATTGCTTCTGTGGACAGGTATCTTTTATACAGGTAATGAGCTAAGATTAGGAGCACTCCCTGTAAGAGAGTGCTCCTAATCTCGGCTCGTTACCTGTATAAGACACCTGGGAGCCAGAAATCTTGCTGATTGATAGGGGATCAAATACTTATTTCATTTATTGACATGCAAATCAATTTAACTTTTTTGACAGGTGTTTTTTTTTTTTTTTGTTCTCTCCCTCACTGTTAAAATACACATACCATTAAAATTATAGACTGATCATTTTTGTCAGTGGACAAACGTTCACAATCAGCAGGGGATCAAATACTTTCCCCCCCTCACGGTAGCTCTAATCCTCCTTCAATTACAGGGACGCTATAGTCACCAAAACAACTTTAGCTTAATGAAGCAGTTTTGGTATAAAGATCATGTTCCTGCAGTCTCACTGTTTAATGTTCTGCTATTTATGAGATAAATCACTGTTTATGCAGTCAAGTCACACAAACGAAAGTGATTTATCTCCTAAATGGCAGAGAATTGAGCAGTGAGGCTGCAGGTGCATGATCTATACACTATAACTGCTTCATTAAGCTAAAGTTTTTTTGGTGACTATAGTGTCCCTTTAATTCATAATTCATCATGGTTTGTGTCTAATCAGATGTTGCTCAAATTAGCATTGTGATTTGCACATGTGAATCAATCATTGAGATCCAACAACAGTGCTTCTTGTAGATAAGGATTCAAACCAATGTGATTAACTTCCATTTAAAACTACAGCTCAACGTGAAAGTTAGGAAACCCTTATAGCTTTGACAGTCAAAGTGTTTCTAAGAAGATTTATAAAAATGAAACATTTTCTTGAAAACTGCACTTTTGTAGAAACTAAGTCAGATTAAATGCAGTTTACCCCTAAAACATTTCCCCAAGCCGTAGGACTGAATAGGCCATTAATTAACAACAAATTGTAAAATGTTAGTGGTCATGATTGGTGTTTTGGCAGGATTTACAAGGAGCTATAACGTTGCTGAAAAATACAAACACTAGTGGATGTGAGCACAAAGCAGCTGCTGTGAAGAGACTGACATTCCTGTTTGCTGTTAAATCCTTCCTATAAAAAAAAATATATATATATATTTTTTGTCAATGGAAGCAAAACTTAAATGAATGTTTTAGAAGAGCATTGTAAAAAGGCATTAGAAGTCCCAGACTGACAAATGAGCTATGTGCAGCACTCAAAGAGAGACCAGAACATAACCCATTATTTCCATTTAAACCTCCCTTTTTACTAATACTAAGTATTTTTAATTAGTAAACTTGGTGGAAAGATCAAAATTAATAGAAGGAAGGGCTTTCTGTAATTTTGAGCTTCTTACTTAGTAGATACTACATTGGATTGCTATAAGGATACCAAATAAAGGAGCTACCTACTAAACAGTTCCCTAATTTGGTACCCTTAATTATGGCAATCCCACAAGGGTACCAATTTGGGGAGTTATCTCCTAAATGGCTGCAAGATGCAGCCATGGGGTAGATAGTAGAATTTCATTCTTTTTAGACTAATTTCATTCGTCCAGATGAAATTCCGAAATGGAAATGATTGACTTTCATCTGAGTTAATTAGGTGTGCCACATTCCAGTGGGGAAAGAATGGAAGTTGTTTATTTTTTTATTTGCTTTTAAAATGTATTTTTACACTGTTTACTACTGATTCATAAATATCAATGGGTTTTAACCAGCATGCATCAAGCCACCTCAAAAAGGGCCAGAAACACATTGACTGCAGACAGTGAAATGTGTTTTTTTGTTTTTTTTTAAATAGGTGTCAACAATAAATTTGGATTTTTTTTTTTTTAAATTACCGTTTAATAGATATACTCCCAATTAAATAATGGATAATTTTTTCATTAGGGTATATTTAAAAACAATTTGCAAAAGCTGCAGATCTCGTGCCTTAAGCATTTGAAAGCCCTTCCCTTCTTCCCTAGCCCAGACTTTCTCTGGCTGGCCAATCACAGACTTCCAAAAGCAACCCAATGAGAAGTCTTTGTAAGGCAGATTCTCTGGGAAATTGCTGGTGTTCTGGCAGATTTCTATACCTTTCAGATTTCTCCACCGACACAGATCAGCTGTTGCCAGTGCTCCACATGCGTGCTAGCACTTCTGACGGGTAAGGAATTCTGATACAGACTGGGAGCATGCGCAAGACCACCATGTCACTATTGATGACAAAGCAGCAGTTGGAATTGTAACTCTTTCTCAGCAAGGTAAGTAAGCTAGTTTTACACTGATATTATAGTTCGGGCATTCACTAAAGCACAGATACACAAACTGACACTGATATGCATTTGCTCTCAGGTACACATAGACACAGATATACAGTGACAAACACACAAAAACAGATACATTTAGAAGTAATTAAAAAATGTTGCCACCCTCCTATTTCCTTACTTTTTTGGTGCAGGATGGTGGCTCCCCTGAGTTCCAGTAAGAGCTGGCAGCAGGATGTGAGACGCCAAGCTTCCTTCGTTCCTCTACACATCCACTCTGTGGCATCTTCTCTCTTTCAGAAAACTTGGGGGAAATGACCCGAAGTCACTTCCTCTCAGCAAGCTGAAAGGGGCCAGGTCAGGTATGATGTTATGGGGCCTGATCAGTTTGATGGTCTCCTGACATGTGGAACACTCAGGACCTGGTCACACTCACAAATGTTGCAACCCAGGATGTTCCAGCACTAATGTATATGGTGTTATCTGTGGGACGATGTAAAGGGGAGGCTGTGGGAAATGTGTGTGTGTGTGTGTGTGTGTGTGGGCAGCCTCTCCACACATAATTATTTAATTCAATAAAAAAACAAAAAAACTACCCCTTCTAAATGCCTTTTTTGCAGGGAGGGTCTATAACCTCTAATAGGTCAGTGGAGCTATGTTTTCTGGTGTTTGTGCTTCTTATAGAATCCCTGGTAGTCCAGTAAGGAAGTGACCTTCCCCTTAAAGGGACACTATAGTCACCAGAATAAATACACCTTGATGTAGTAATATGTTCCTGCATGCTTTTTGCTGAGAAAAGTCAGTATTTACATAGAAACATAGAATGTAACGGCAGATAAGAACCATTCGGCCCATCTAGTCTGCCCAATTTTCTAAATACTTTCATTTGTCCCTAGCCTTATCTTATAGTTAGGATAGCCTTATGCCTATCCCACGCATGCTTAAACTCCTTTACTGTGTTAACCTCTACCACTTCAGCTGGAAGGCTATTCCATGCATCCACTACCCTCTCAGTAAAGTAATACTTCCTGATATTCCTTTTAAACCTTCCCTCTAATTTAAGACTGTCCTCTTGTTGTGGTAGTTTTTTCTTCTTTTAAATAGTCTCCTCCTTTACTGTGTTGATCCCCCTTATATATTTAAATGTTTCTATCATATCCCCCCTGTCTCGTCTTTCCTCCAAGCTATACATGTTAAGATCCTTTAACCTTTCCTGGTAAGTTTTTTTATCCCGCAATCCATGAACCAGTTTAGTAGCCCTTCTCTGAACCCTCTCTAAGGTATCAATATCCTTCTGAAGATACGGTCTCCAGTACTGTGTACAATACTCCAAGTGAGGTCTCAATAGTGTTCTGTGCAATGGCATGAGCACTTCCCTCTTTCTACTGCTAATACCTCTCCCTATACAACCAAGCATTCTGCTAGCATTTCCTGCTGCTCTATTACATTGTCTGCCTACCTTTAAGTCATCAGAAATAATCACTCCTAAATCCCTTTCTTCATATGTTGAGGTTAGTACTCTATCAAATATTCTGTACTCTGCCCTTGGGTTTTTACATCCAATATGCATTATCTTGCACTTATCCACATTAAATGTCAGTTCTGACCATTTTTCTAGTTTACCTAAATCATTTGCCATTTGGCTTATCCCTCCTGGAACGTACACCCTGTTACATATCTTAGTATCATCAGCAAAAAGACATACCTTACCATCAAGACCTTCTGCAATATCACTAATAAAAATATTAAAGAGAAGTAGAGATCCCTGAGGTATGTGTATAGTGAATGTAGTGTGTTTGCAGTTAGTGCAAAGTATGTATAGTGATTGTAGTGAATGCAAAATGTGTATAGTGAATGTAGTGTGATTGTGGTGAATGCCGAGTGTGTTTTTGTAGTGAGTGCAACGTGTGTATAGTGAATGTAGTGTGTGTATAGTGAATGTAGTTTGGGTGTAGTGTGTGTTTAGTAAATGTAGTGAGTGCAGAGTGTATTTAGTGAATGTAGTGTGAGTGTTTGTAGTGCAGATTGTTTAGTGAATGTAGTGTGTGTGTAGTGCAGATTGTGTTTAGTGAATGTAGTGTGTAGTGCAGATTGTGTTTAGTGAATGTAGTGTGTGTGTGTAGTGCAGTGTGTGTTTAGTAAATGTAGTGCAGAGTGTGTGCTTGTAAGGATGCAGTGTGTGTGTGTGTGTGTGTGTGTGTGTGTGTGTGCAAAATAGGGGGGAGGGGAGTATTTAAAAAAAAAAATTGTAAAAAATGTTATTCCCCTCTCCCTGCTTCTTACCGTGCCAGGGAGGGGGGGGGAAGATCGCATTGTGGAGGGAGCCAGCCGTGATACATTGCAAAGGGGGGCCCAGCAGCACACACTGTCTAACTTTCCAGCTCCTCTCTGACGAACTCTCGCGAGACCGGCCTCCGTGCTGTGCGGAGCGTTGCCATGGCTGCTGCAGGAAAGTTACAGAGAGGGGCTGGAAAGGAGGACAGAGTGCTGTTGGGCCCCCCTCTGCAATGTACATGTAGCAGGGGGCCCGCAGTGCACATCACTATATATATGTGCACATAAGGAATGTGGGGTCAGGGCCCCCCAGGACCGCCGGGCCCATAACAACCGTTATGGTTGTCATGCCCTGATGGCGGCCCTGACTAGGAAACCTTGTTTTTCCAGGGAAAGACACAAGAAGATATGGCATCAAGTGTCATATTTAATATGGAAGGTAATGGGTTGAAAAAAACAACAAAGAAAAACACATAAACATATTTAATCAGTACAACATTGACAGTCTGGAATCTCTCACTCTCCCCGCTTGTTTACAAAGAATCCTAAGTTTAGAGAATGCCATGTTACAAAGATATATTAGTTATACAGCAAAGCCCATCTCTCCCCTGCTAGGCACACAGCAAACCAATATTCACAAAACAAATCTTATCATATTAGACAAATCAGTGTGAGATTCATCATCTTCAGACTAGACAGCCAGTCCCTGTATAGTATTTTGTGCAGTTTTAGAATCTAGACTTGTTTTGTGAGACGTGTCATTTTGATGACCTTTTTGTATGATTTTGTTCAAAGGGCAAAAGGTCCCTGTGAGTCCAGCTTAAGGGCCATGTGAGTTGACTGCATCACACTTCCAGGCCCTATCACAGATGTCATGGAGAAGAAATGTTCACCTTTTTCCTCTGGTGCCATGTCCATCTGTTCACTAGTCAAAGTCTACATCTGTTTGTTTATGTCCTCATGTTAAAGGTCAGCGCTCTATATAGTGTGCGCAGTCCTTTGTGCTTGCAATCATCTATCACACCATTGGGCTTCGATTGTGAGCCAAGGTGTCTATTTTCTCTAGCTGATATTGCAGATGTTTGAAATGCCTTATTTTCCTTTATTCCTAAAAATGTCCATACATAGCACTCCTCTGTAGTGTAAAGAGTGGCCAATGTATTATTGTTAGTTAATGCAATGTTTGCCTTTTCAAATAATGTCACAGTAAGGTCAAGGATTGTGTACAAACTATTGAGCAGAGTAAGTGATGAGAACCGCACCCAGTCCCAACGGCCAAGGGTGCTCCAGAGCAGGACCAGCAATCCCAGTACAATAATCCAAGAGGAAAAAACTCACAGGCACTCCAACTTCAAGCCGCAGGCAGATTTATTATGACAGAATGCAACGCAATTTGCATTCTGTCATAATAAATCTGCCTGCGGCTTGAAGTTGGAGTGCCTGTGAGTTTTTTCCTCAAGGATTGTGTACAAAGCAAACTTAATTACAGGAACACTCCCATCACTAGAATATTATTTTATTATTTATATAGCACCATCAGATTCTGTAGTGCTGTACAAGCGGTGGAATATCTACAGTATGCTGCACCCTGCCTTCACTACTATTAAAGGGACACTTCAGTCACCCAGACCACTTCAGCACAATGAAGTGGTCTGCGTGCCAGGTCCCTCAGGTTTTAACCCTGCAGATGCAAACATAGCAGTTTCAGAGAAACTGCTATGTTTACATTGCAGGGTTAAGCCAGCCTCTAGTGGCTGTCTTCCGGACAGCCACTAGAGGCGCATCTGCCACGCTGGAGGCATGTTATGCCTCCATCGCACAGAGCTTCCATAGGAAAGCATTGAGAAATGCTTTCCTATGGACACTTTGAATGTGCGCGTGGCACTCGCCGCGCATGCACATTCGGCTCCAGTGACGTCGGACGGGGGAGCTGACGTCGGCGGGGGAGGAGAGGTCACCTTATTCCGGCGCTGGAATAAGGTAAGTGGTCTGGGTGCCAGGTCCCTCAGGTTTTAACCCTGCAGATGCAAACATAGCAGTTTCACAGAAACTGCTATGTTTACATTGCAGGGTTAAGCCAGCCTCTAGTGGCTGTCTTCCGGACAGCCACTAGAGGCACATCTGTGATGCTGGAGGCAGAAAAATGCTTTCCTATTGACAGCTTGAATGCGTGCGTGGCACATGCGCATTCGGCTCCGCTGACGTCTGCAGAGGGAGCTGATGTCAGTGGGGGAGGAGAGGTCACCAGTGCCGAGGGAGCCCGGCGCTGGAAAAAGGTAAGCCGCTGAAGGGGTTTTAACCCCTTTAGCACCACGGGAGGGGGGGCCCTGAGGGTAGGGGCACCCTTTAGGGCACTATAGTGTCAGGAAAACTGCTTAGTTTTCCTGACACTATAGTGATCCTTTAAGCTAAACCCAGGAGTGCAGGGCAATCAGAGGGATCAGCTGATGCAGGCACAGCAGGTTAAAACAGGGTTATAAAATTTAATATAATTTGGGGGCAACAGGCCACTCCTGGCACCATAACCATTACAGTGTGCTAGAGTAGTTACATTGCTTGGAGTGTTCTTTTAAGTTGTGATTCTACGTCCTCCTATTCTAACCCCCTCACCAAATAAAATGATACATACGTTATATCACAGACTGATTAATGTATTTCTTACAGATTCCCTTTGGCATTAGATGTTGATTCTCTCACAACAGGGCTCCTTGTGCTCCTCTAAGTAAGTAAGATGAAAGTTCATATGTGTAAAAGATAAACAACCTATAATAAATTGGAGCATACAATAGTGTAAGACATTAAAACCAAATAAAGGGTAAAAATAGTCAAGGAACCACTCACATATTCTATAGACCTAGCTTGAGCTATAGACTTAGCTTGTTATAAGATGTTCCTTTTTTGTCTTATATGGAAGCTCATAAAGGGATATATATTGCAATATTGCAGTGTACGCTTGTATTTTTATGCACACTCAATCACAGCTTTCCTATGTTTCCCATTGAGCTCTAGTACAGCTCATTGAGAAGGGGGAAGCAGGCACACACTAGTACAGCATAGCTGGCTCCTCTGTTAGCCCTGTGAAAACCTGATGAAAACCTTCCCGGCTGTGTGACTGCCACAAAGTATAACCCTAATACGCAGAGTTT